GACAGACAGACGTACAAACAGCACACAGGCGCACGGAAAGACGGTAATCCCATTATTTCATTTACGTTTGACAGCGAGTCCTAGTTTGGATCGAAACGTTACAATAAACATTTTACAACTCAGTGTACGCCTCCATTCACTCTTGAAATATATATATATATATATATATATATATATATATATATCCGGGGTGCGGACAAGCATGGTACCAACGCCACAACGGTAATAAGAATAACAATCACAGGGCCTGGGTGGATTGAGATACCGAACAGAGTGAAAAGAAGGCAAAACTGTTAAAATAGAAAATCATAGATAAATGGAATAAAAAATGTTTTTGTTTCATCGTACACTTGATTATTTTGTGTTGATTTGTCGCTTTTGTTATTACACACTTTAGTGTGATGAACACTAGCCGGAGTAAACCCTGCTATTCCGTGATGGAAACCGGTAACCTAAGCCCCGGGACTTGAAGTAGTGAACCACATAAGGCCCCGATAGGATACGTGTGGTATTGGGGCACGGGACTTCAACAGGCAGACCGTACAGCATTGGCGCCAGTGACTTCTATACTGAACCATATCTCTCAACGTCTCCAACCAGTGACAATCCTCGTCCCATGGGCCCCAATTCTGAAGGCGGGCTGCATCAACCGAAGTCAAAGCTGAAGCCAGCTTCTTCATACCTCTACACCATGTCGTGGTCTGACTGCACAGGCACTTCTTCCGTCCTTGCCCTGCACGTGCGAAGAAAGCACGGAAAGATAGTCAATGGACAGGCATAAGCAATACGTGACCAGCCATCGGAGGCGGTGTAGAGCGATTACTTCTGTTAGAGAGCGGGTATCCACACTCAACAAGCGACGACGAACCTGGTTATTGCTACCCCTATGTGCCTACCAGGCACGAGTAACGCTTTGAGTTCAGTTCAGTTATTACAAACATTAACCACGCAATTTCGTGCACCGGTTTTGGTTGCCCGACCTGGGGTATGACGATACAACTCTTTGAGGATCGATACATACTTCTCAGGTACTCCATTCCTCGACAAACAGTTCCATAGTGCGGTTCTATCGACAGAGTCCACGCATTAGCTCTAGCTCACAGCGTGCACAAATGGATAGAGTAGACAGGTGAGGATGAGCTTGCCCAGTTTGCTGGTCCTGTCGTCTGTCAATGAGTCGGAGAGTGAATTGCATCAACTAATGCGTGATTAGACTCAATGCAGGTGGTTCAATAGGACCTGTAAGTTTCCTAAACCACGCCAATGCTAGCTCATTATAATGCGGTTGATTTGAGTTAGCGTGCCAGTGGAATGGGAGCGCCGCGTTGCTTAATTTGACTTGACTTGAGCTGTGTCGGAATTTGGTACTGGATAGGAACAGATGACGATCTGCGCAGAACTGAGGAAGTCGATTACCGTCATCAGTTCGTTGGCAGGGCAGAGCACACCTACCACCTAGGGCTGTTTTCCAACCTGCGTGTTAAAATCACCTACAAGTACAACTAAGTCGGAGCTTCAACTCAACCGAATGGTTTCGGTGAGTTTGTCGTAGAAATCGTCTTCTTATGCTTCAGAACTACGGTTGGTCAGTGCATACGCCGATATGATGAACAAACACCTTTTGGTACTGCTTTCCTTTCGAACGCTGATGGCCCCCTGGGGCTGAATCGCACATAAGTGAATGTTGACGCGGATCCGACCGTTTTGGTTCTATTATTGAGACAATGCTTACTCCAGGCTGATCTGCTAAAAGGGGCTTCGTCGTTGCCTGATATGCGGAGAAAGTACCTCGAAAACAAATATGGTGTACTCAAATGGCTCATAGTAGTATAACCCTGAATTTGAGTCCCGGAAACGAAGAAAATATTGAACTTTAGGGATTCCATTGTAGGGGCAAGACCCTCTTGCATTAGAGTCTTCAAGTAGAAAGCTCTCAGATTCAGTGAGTGGCGAGCGACGGCCAAGTCACCTAAGGAACTGTTACAGTTCGGAAGAAGAGGCATAGAGAGAAAGAGCTGAGTACGGAAGACAAATAACTTAACGTTTGGGATGTCTGAGCAGTAGCCTAGGTATCACTATTCACTTTGCTAGACACAATGGACAACGCGGCCCAGATTATCCTGCACGATGACTGATGCAGCATGGAGTTACAATGTATGCATTGAAGGTTGATGGACGGGTTCCCACCCTAATCCTTTAGTTCTGACAAGAACCTAGCCTCAAGGCCGCGGGTGAAGCGAAGTTGGGGCTGATTTACTTGGATCGACTAATCCTCTATCATTTTTTAACGAGTGAAACACCAATTTTAGTTGAACCTCCACCCTGAAGTACCAGAAAACTGGACCACTACCCTTTGACTTTCCACGCATGATTAGATCTAATGGCTTGACAAAAGCCATCCTGTGTAGCTCCTTGAGTTACAGAGGTACACAAGCCATCATATCATGTCTCGTTGTGATGGATTAGTTCTGATAAAAAGCCTTCAATCTTTGAAGACCAGGGCATTTTGTGTAAAACCGCTTGCGCGTTGAAATTTTCGGGGAAAACTCACGAGAAGGCTGACTGCGGAGATGCACGCATGGTGCTTGATATTACCGCTAGCATACAGATAAGGCACCGCTAACGACTCAGACAAAATCTAGAATCATGCTGAATTCGTTAGGAATGTCGTGCCAAAGAGAGACCATGTTATCCAAACAGTCGACGGGTCTTTGAAACTGGCCGTGTCATTTTTTGTTATCGCTGGAGCTTTGCTTTTTTTCATCACACAACCTCTAGATATACTTTTGTATTATTTACGGTGACTTCAATGATGACATACAACGCGCTCAGTTTAATCTCCGTACGGTTATCCGTGGAATATATCAACGAACCGTCCTTACGTGCTTCTTCTCGTTTTGTGAAAAAGTTAAAACGATTACCAGAAATTTACATGGCAAACGGAAGAAACATCGCGCTGGTTGGAAAGTCACACTTGAGCACCGAAACCTGAAGAGCATTGGTTTTCCGATCATTTTGTCGTCGAATGTCTCCTCAGCTCTTTCTAAGCTATCGTACATCGGTCTTTTGATTCACTACGGAGAGTACTCCAAAAGTTGTGCTACTTTGCCAAGAATCTTGGTTACATGAATCCGCCAACGACGAATTGGTTCAAACCGAAGGCTTCCAATTATTTCGAGTAGGTAGACCTCCAGGAAGGACAAATAAAGGGGAGGCGTCATCACTTATGTGCGCCGGTCGTGGTGTAACTCAACCAAATGCATTTTCACTTACTGCACACAAAACATTTCTTGTATTTCTGTAGAATGTAAACCACGTTTTCTCGTACGTCACTCTTCAATCATCTTTTCAAACCTATACACCACTCCTGACTGTACTCCTAGTGAGTTGTCTACCTTCCTGGATGTATTCTATCCAATCCTGTTGGAGAAATCTGTCACATCTGTATTCATCATTGATGGCGATTTNAACGGATTTGATGTGAGTTTTTACACACTTATGTCCCTTCAGAACATTGTTACTTTTTCCACTCGAAATGATGCCTCCTTGGACCACTTTTCGTTAACGAACTATCTTTTTTCCGTGTCTTCGAACGTGCATCAGTAGGCCATTTCGATCACTGTCTGATTAAAGTTTTACCTACAATATGTGATAAATGCAAGCAGCAAATCCGGATGGAGAACGATGCACGTAAGATACGTTTACGACGAAATCATCTGACCAATTTGATTGAATTAAAATCCATGGTTGACGGTGCGGACTTATAACAACTCTTCGATCCTGATTTTTCAGTCTTCTGTGAGAATC